AGGAAGACAAATGAGACCCAAAGAAACCCAACCCGCTGTTGGCCTCTTCTGTCTTCATTTACATGTCTCTTCTCCTCTCTCTCCATGTCTCTCTCTTTTGTTTAGGAGTGTGTCGGGCTTCTGGTTCCATTCCAGATATTTCCCCCTCCAGCTGTTCCCCATTCTGGAAAAGCGCTAAGCCTGGTCACTTCAAGACCATCAAAATCCTCTAGATTCAAACACCTTCACCAACCAAACATCACAGCCTCCATTTGAACCTACCCACATGGCCAAGATCTCCTGCTAGCGAATCGGCACCTCCTCTCACCATTGCCTCCCACTCAAAAATCCTCACCTCAAAATCTTATGAATGGAAATGAAACCATCAGGTAGGGAGGTCCCTCTCTGAGTCCTCTGGAGAGAAAGGACAGTAGGGCTCTGCCCTCCTCAGACCATTGAGTCCTGTCCATTGTCTGAGCAGGAAGCTGCACATCTGGAGCCTGGAAAACACTCAGCTTTTAGCAGCCATTTTTGGGTAAGGAGCTTGTGCTTAGGTCAATACCTTTTAAAGAAAGGAGCATTTTCCTTGGGAGGTGGGATGAAGGATGCAGTCAACACACTGAAGGAGTGTGAAGGAGTGAAGCTCTGGAGGCCGGTGCTGCAATACAGCTTCATGGTGCAGCCACAGAACAGTGTGGTGGGAGACGGGGTCCCAAAAGGCCCAAAAGGAGAGTAAAAGGTTATAACACAGTTGTTTCTCATCCTCTGTTAGCCCACCTATTCCAAAAAAAAAGATGCATTCATGTATGTTCAGCATCCAGGGGACACTGGCCCTAAGACAGTGCAGATCTCAAGCCCTCTCTAAGCTCCTTGTACCTTCTTAAGACTTTGCACCAGGGTTGGCTCAAAAGCCTGTGGGAGAGGTAAGGAAGAAATGTGATGTGTTTGGGGGTAAGAGCCCTCCTTGTCCACTGGATGGGTGAACAGTTTCATTAGGGGCAGAGCAAGCAGTGGAGCAAGGCGTGCACAGTGCCTCCCGCACAGAAACACACCTGGCATTGGGAATAATCATGCCAAAACATTCAGCTCCACTACGATTCCTCCAGCAGCTCTGTGGGGAACCCAGTCCTGCAAGGACAGGTGGTCTGGAATACATTTGGTGAGATGGGAACAGCATGTCCTGCCAGCCAGCTCTCCCACTTCAAACCAGCCTTTATTTCTGAACGAGGCGCCACAGCTACTTTCAAAAGGCGTTTCATACTAAGCTCCTTGGCTTCACATCTCCCCTGAAGAGCGCTTTTCTCTCTTTCAGTTGCCTTTTTTTTTATTCCCCAGACTCAAGTCTCAAACTGTGTGGTGAAACAGATCCATGACTGCCAAAATCCTTGCCACCAGCACACTAGCGCATGGCCCAGATGGTCCCAAGTGACAGGAAGGATGTCTTTTTTCTCTGCTGAAGACTTTCACTCCACTATTGGCATCTGCACAGCCTGCTTCACTTCAGAGGGATTTCAAGGACATGACGCAAGATCAGCTTCCTTCAGTCAGATCTTCCAACTTTTTGCCTCCTCCTAGGACAGTTTTGTGCCACAGGCGCTAGGTCAGTTCCTGAATTTGCACTGGGGAAGAAGGGCTTCTTGTGGCCATGGGTGCCTCATGTCGCATTCAAAAGATGAGTGGGGAATTCAGAGTGCCACTCTTACCTTCTACCTCCTCCTTCTAGAAGTATCCTCAGGATCACATTCCCAATGACTTCATGAAGCCCTCAGAAATAACAAGCCAGGAAATCATATAAGCCAGAGAAAGCCGAACTYTGTCACTGGAAATCCAATAGACTAGAATAGGTCAGTGCTACTTAAATCTTTCCAGCAGATATTGGTCTAACATTAAAAGTTTCCAGCAATGAACACAGCCATTCCTCATCTGCCTCTTCTGGATAAATGGAATTTCCCCTTACTGTCTGACCCCAAGGTCTCTAATGATTTTATATGGTACCAAAAGTAATCTCAGAGAATAGTTCCTTCACTTCCCCTTTGCAGGAGCTCTCTATGCATTTGGAAACCATCTTATCTCTTCCTAGAAACTTCTTGCCTCTGTGGTAAGCCCAAGGTCCTTCAGTCTGTGCTTAGAGGCCAGGACATCCAAACTTCTCATCAACCCTGCTATGCTCCTTTGTAATGCTCCTAAACGAGCTCACATTTTTTCAAAACTCAAATATCTCATCTTCTCCTCTTCTCCATGACCACGTCTCCAACAAAGAGTGGATTTTCAAACTTCTGCAAACAGATTCTCTCATGAGTAATTCCCAGGATCCTCAATGAATGTGATTCAGAGAGAAATTAAAATGTGGTCCTTGCAGAAGCGAAGGGGGCAGAGCCTGGCTGCACTGACAACAAGCTCTAGGACTTGTATTCCATCTTCCACATCCCAATATCTGCAACACTGTCCCCTTTTCTCTACTGTCCACTTTTCACCACTGCAACTGCTTCCAAACTGAACTGCAGACCTGAGCACTGCTTGGATGAGGCTGACTCACCAATGGCTCTTTACAGCCATCATTTGCTTCAGTCTGCGCTAGCATAGTTTTAAACTCTAATCCCATAGCACACAAGAGCGCTAGAAGATGCTCATTTTTGGCCATAGGCCACTTGTATTTGATTTCTTATCAGCAGGGCCAGTTAGTTGTCTAACCTCAAAGAGACCAGGGTGGAAAGAGCTTCTCGCCAGTCACCCCCCATCATCCTTTAAAAAATCTATGGTTCCTAGTGTCTCTGTTGAAATATGGGGCAATGCAACCCAAATAGGGTAGTTCATTCCTATTTCAAAAGAGAAAAGGCAATGAAATCCAGCAACCCTGCAGCCTCCAACACTGGGAATTCTCTGGACGTAGCTGGCATTGGCCGGGCAGGGAGAGGCAGATGCTGGAGAATTGTGCAACAGCTGGGAAATCAAACCAAGCGCTGTGAGAAGATGAATCTGTAGGTGTAGTGTATCTGGGACACTTCTGCTTTTGTTCTTTGCATTATAGTGGCTGTCATCCATCACTGTAAACACTGACCAGTGTCCTTCCAAAAGCCTCATCAAATAAAGAAAAGATGGTGGTGGAAAAACACAAGTTACAGGGTATTTCAGGGAAAACGCTTGGGTCGTCTTGCCAAAGACCATTTGAGAGCTCAGCAGATTCCCAATAGCAAATACTCCCTCTCTGGAGCATTGTATCTCCAGAGACAGTGGAAACTGATGGATGGCTTGATAGATTAAACAAGATTAATGAATGTGCATGTAGACAAAGTTGCTGACAGTGTGGGGACAGTCAGTGCACAGTTGAGCAGAAGAGGGATTTTCCCTGCCAAAACGTCTGCAAGGAGGAAATCTTGCTTTCTGTGGGAAAGCAGAGAAGAGGGTATTTAGTGGAGGAAGCAGACTGAAGGCTGCAGGGAGTGAGTCTGCTGTGCCAAGCATCTGCACTGGCATCTGGACTGCACCTTTAGCTACTATCTGTAGGGAGACAACACAGTGGCCTGGGGTCTAAAATCCCCCCAGACAGCCACTGAATGTTCACTACGCAGGAAAAGTCTGGAGTAAAGGGGGACAGGGACAAACCAACATCACTAGAATCACCAGAAGACCCATCCATGGACCCTGTGGCACAGATAAGACTATGCAGAAAGGTTCTTTCAACATGAACAAAAACCATCCCACCCTCACTCTTGAGAGGCAGGGAGAGGTCCGGAGCATTCATGGCTTGATCCAAGACAGGGACACAGGAGTACAGCCAACAGACCCAACCAGCACTGGTTGAGGAACACTTAGCCAACCCAGGCTGGAGGCAGAGCAAACTGAGCCCATGCCTTTTTCACTTTCAGGCCAGACTATCTTGCCTTGGGCAAAGAGCAAACTCAGAGAGAGCTACTGAGGTGCAGAATATTTTATTCGAATACCCAGTGGCCAGGAAAAACAAAACAAGCAAACAAAGCTTGTCAGAAGCTCTCAAACACCCCCACTGATTTATAGCTCAGCATGCAAATGCCAGACAGGCTTACCTAGGGCCCAGCTCAGCTAAGCCTAAGTCAGGAGGGAAAGGTGGGGAATGCCACAGCAAATGGCATTGAGCCTCTCATCGCTGCCTACCAGTTTATGGGGAGGCATGGCTAATAGGGAAGGTACTTTCCAAAGAGATTCCTGGCAGCAGGACAAGCCTCCTGTTTGTTTGTATTCCTGGTTTTCTCTTTAGTCTCCAGGTTTTACTGCTACTGTGCACAGCAAGAAGATGGGTGCATTTGAGAACACGGAGTGTGGCCAAGCTCGGTTCACCGCTCCCTTTCCAAAGGGCAATCTGAGCCCTGGGATCTGGGCCAGCCCCAGGTAAGGGCGTGCTAGGCTTGTGGCTGAGCCTACACTGCCATGAGCTGCAGTACCTGCTTCCTGTAAGTGAGCAGAACTGAGCCCTGCGTGGGTACAAGAGTCCTCATCTCAAGCAACTTCTGGGCTCAGCTTGACCCCAGAGAGCTGAGCCACACTTCGAGTTGGGTCAGGAGAAACAGCCTGCTTCCCTGCTCCAGTTCTGGCATCATCAACCAAGCAGCCAGGCCACCGCAGAGCTGGGGAGTCTCCCGGGCACCCCTCGGTGTGTGGGAGAAGAGGGACATCCTGTCCTTTCCCTTGCCAGAGCACCTGGCAAGGCTTTGCTGCCATCCCTGCCCTCCGGTGAATGTTCCTGCTCTGCTTTACATTCCATAACACCTGTAGAGCAGCTTGCAGCAATTACCCCACACCCTACATGCGTGGGGATGGGCCAGAATTAAGTGGAATCCACCTCCCTGATTCTTTTGAATTATTTCTTTTTTTGAAGGAGTCTGACCAAGCATCCAGGCGCTGAAGGGCAAAGTGAAACCAAAAAAAGCTGATGGAGAAACGAAACTAAAAGCTCCGGTGTGGGACTGGTTCTGCACAGACCCAGGAAGGGAGCGGGAAGCCCCAAGCCCAGTGCTTCCAGGCTGGTGAAGGGGGCAGAGCCACCACTATCTGTAGGTGATAGGAGACACAGGATGGGGCTGGGCAGATGGGGAGCAGCTCGTGCAGAGCTTTGGGATCCTCAGCTCCAGCTGGCCCTGCGGTTTTCCCTCTCTCCCAGGGCACAGTTGCCCTGTCCTATGGGCTCCCAGGCACAGTCATCTGCCCACAAAACACCTAGATTTGTTGGTGCCCTCTGCTCCCTTGTGCCAATGTGGAGCTGTCAGGACACAGCTACCATCCCTGTGGCTGCAGCCCTGTGTTCTCTGCCCCAAGGAAACACTGGAAGATATTCCGCTTTATTTTCCTTTTTCTTTTTTTTCATATTTGCTGATGGTGGGAGCTCCATGGGCTCTGTTCCGCTCTGCAAGTGGGTATCTGCAGGAATATCTCATAATCATCAAAACCCTGTGAGACCCTTTGAGAGTTCCTGAGACTTGTCCTTCCGCAAGCAAGGCTGGCTGGAAAGGAAGGTCTCTCACAGATGTGGGAGGTCCAAGCATCTCCCATGCCCATCTGAAAGAGGGCAGAGCCTGAGAGTTTGCTGTGTCTCAAGATGGGGTAAAAAAAAAAATGTCTGTGACATTCATAGCAACATAAGATCAAAAGTAGGCAAGGCAGAAACCTCAAAACCCTTGGACAGTCCAAGCAGGGATGAAGCAGAAGGTCCATCAATACAGAGTTAAAAACAGTTTATGTCATCGTGCCATAGGATGTGGATGGTGGATGCACTTTGCTCCTAAAACCCCTTCCAGTGCCACCCTTCTCCATGCTCTGTCTCCTGCAAACACTTTCCACCCAGTTCCCATGCTAACAACCCACATAATGGGTTGGATTGGCTTTCTCTTAGTTCTGCAAGGGAGGTGAAGTTTAAAAATAATAAAAAAAAATTAGGTCCAAAATGATGGGAGAGAGAGAAAGAAATGGGAAATCTTGGAGGATTTCTACTCAAACTTGCTTTTGGCTGGGGCCTAAGGTTTTTGACCCAGCAGTGATTTGCTGCTTTCTTTAAGGAAGGCGGCTGCTTCTCTCTAAAGAGATCATTGACATTTTTAATAAAAAAAAACCCTCACTCTGCAGTTTACTTAGGACTGAACCATGTTTTTTTGACAGATTTCCGAGAAAAAACTCTAGAGCGGGGACAGCTGCTGCAGAGCTGGAGAAGGAGCACCCAGACTTGCCACATCCCTACTTCAGCCCTGGCCGAGCTGGACCGGCAGGCTCTGCTCTGCAGAACAGCATCTCCTCCTGTCCTTGACACAGCTGCTCCATCAGTCGTGGGCTGGGGTAGCCTGATGGCAGAGCTAAGGCCTGGGTCACTGCACGTGTAGAAGACAACGACCCGGCAGGGATTTGCAGTGTGCAGATGCATTGCTGAGATGGGCATGTTCACCGGCCCGAAGGAGCTGGGATCCAAGGGATTTTCAGCTGTACTCTTACAGGAAATGGGGCCAAGAAGCCCTGCAAAGCCTGATGGAAACAGGAGAACTTGTGTCCAATATCAAGGTGGTTGGTGCAAGCCCATTCTTCCTCAGCTTCATGAGGACTTGGGCCAGGTCCCAGAGCACTAAGCTCTTTGCCAGGGCAGTCTTCAGCCAAGGATGAACCTTATCTGCCTCAGACTGGCTGCCACTGTCCCCTCCTGCAGCCTCTGCCCTGCTCTGGGATGCCAGGCCCCAGCTGTGACAGCTCATTCCGGGCTGACATCCATCCTGAGCATCATCCCTCTCCCCTGGCACGGTCCCACGCTGGGTCACCGAGCGAGCGGCAGGAAAGCTCCTGCCAAAGCAAGCGCCAGTTACTCTCTTTTCCCACTCACGATGTTTGTCTTGGCCTCTCTTCCCATACCAGCCATGCTCTTGTTTCTCCTCCTCCTCAGGATTGGGTTTCTAGAGCTGTCACTAAAACTAATGAGCTGGGACAGAGATGATGTGAAGGCTCTGGGAAAGGAAGAGACAGACGATCCCAAGACATTACGTGTGCTTACATAGCAGGGAGGAGGGGACAGCTGGGACCAAGCTGGGACCTTTGCCACCAAACCAAAGGAGACATTGGCCCAGGGGAGAGAAAGGGCCTCCCCTGGGCTGGAGAGCCCAAAGTCTGCTCCACCATGGGCATCATCCCTGGAACATGTGGGCTCCTTTGCCTGGGGATGTGGGACTTGAATACAAAGCAGGCCAGCCACCAGTTCACTTTCATTATTATTTATTATTTTATTAACAAAATCACAGCAAAATAAGAAAGAGTGAGAGGAAGCAGGTTACACTCAGAATTATTGCCACACGCAGCTCTAGCAGCAAACACTTGGATGTGGTGGGGACACTGCTCACGCGTCACTGCTGGCCAGGCAGGAGCTCAGGGCTTTGGGAAGTGAAGCATCGATAACTGCCCTGTTTCCAAGCCGCTGCCCCCAGGAGTCAGCCCCAAGTTCTCACCATCACGCTGATGCCCTGCACTCATTTCCCTCAGGCCAAGTGCTGCAGTGGGGCCAGGATCCCACTGCAGACACCCACTGGTGTCTACCCTGCCAGCTTCTCCTGGGCCACAGAAGAGCTCAGGCCAAGGATGCAGATGGAAACAAGGCGGAACAAACAGGCCTGTGTTGGAGGCCACGGCTGCTGTTCCAAAAGGAAGACTGAGATCCCTCAAACTCATCTTGCAGAATAATCTGCCAACCAATTTCCACCCAGTTCCTGGACATGATTGAGGTGAAGCACCGAGACCTGGGGCTCCCGTAGCCCCTGTGCCACCAGTCCTGCTCTGCTCATGGGGATGCTCCTTGCTGGGGGCTCCGAGCTCAGCCCAGCACCTCCGGCTCAGCCTGACGCAGGTCTCAATCACACTGGGACAGAGCGGGGAAGGGAGGTCGGGCAGGGCTCTGCGCAGCCCCGCGCGCAGGCACGAGTCCTGAGGAGGGTCGGCCCTGCACCCTGTGCCTGCGAGGGGAAGCGGGCCGACTTCACAAGCTTCAGATTCACAGGCAGAAGCTGGCCCTGGAGTAGGGACCAGCCGTGGGCTTCTTTGGAGCCTATTTTCCTTGAGATTTGGCCTGGGGAAGGCAAGAAGGCAGCAGCAGGTGAACACGATGCCTTGGGGGCAGGAGTCCCTTCCCCAGGGTCTGGGTGGTCACTGGGAATTTCCTTCCCCACCCAAGTCACGGTGGCAAAGCAGAGGGGACAGCAGTGTGGATCTGGTTAGAACAGCACTGCAGCAGTCACAGCAATGCCACATCTCTGGAGCAGGGACCTGGCAGAGCCTGTCTGCCACCAGGGTCATAGACATGCCTGGAGGACTTGCAGAGCACACACTAAGCATATTGTCCTTGATAAGATGTACAGCCCAGGGAGGGCCTGGAGGCAGTCATCTCTCCCAGACAGACAGTTACAACAGTGCCAGGGACAGTTTTATTTGGGATAGAATTGGGATTGCAGAGGTCACAGACTGGTCCCACTTTGAGGGAGGAGGGCTGGAGACTAAGACAAATCCTATGGTGATATCCAGCCTATCCATGGTATCCTGCAGCATTCCCCTTGCGCTAATCATCACCCAGCCAGACTGGGAAAATCTCACTTGGTGGCAGGTTAAACCTACCCACGGGTGGTCCCAAGGCGCAACCACGGAGCTGAGCCGGGGCAGGCCAAAGACTGGCTCTTACCTTCCTGGGGGAGCTGGCGTCCAGCCTCTCTCGGAGGCGAATCACCCATGGGGCTTCCAGCGGGGCACAGAGGCGCTTGCCCTTCATGGTGATGAACCTGCGAGGTCCACGGAGAAGGAAGAGAAGTTCAGCGGGATGCTGCACCCTCCCTGCACCCTGCTTGGCCTCCATCCCTGGTGGGTCCCCCCGGGACAGGGCCGGCCTGGGTGTCTTACACTGTGGCAGGGATGATGCAGCCGTCCTGCACCAGCTGCAGCCGGTAATCCTGCACGATCCGCCATGGGATGTGGTTCTCGCTCGTCCGTAGGCAGCAGTCCACAACGTTGTTCGCGACGGACACTGTGGGAGGAATGTTACACATGGGCTGAGGTCGCAGCTTCAGCACCCCCAGCTGCTCCTGCCAGGCTGAGCTCCCCTCGTCCTGATCTCCAGGGCCTTGTGGAGTGAGTCCGCAGTGCGCAATCAGGAGCAGTAAATCAGGCTGCAGTATGAAAAGCGGGAGTGATTCCAGGCTGGGGAATATTGCTGCTGTCTGAGTCGGTGGTCTCGGAGTCTGGGTGAACCGTGGGTTGCCCCACACGGAACAGAGCAGGATGGCACCCGTGCAAGCTCAGCGCGGAGCTCAGCATTCCCACGGCAAGCCCTGCCCCTGCACTCAGCCCTGATCGCAAATGCAGCTCCAGCTTTATTGGACCCACTCCCTTGCGCTGGGAGCCCTTTGCCTCCTTCCAACAGAAAGCCAAGCAAGGAACAGGAGGCTGGAGGAAGGCAGCCCTCGGGCACACACGGCTGCTTGTTTCCTCCCCAGAGCCAGCGCCTGCCAGCGCGATGCCCCGGGATGCCTATAGCCCCCTGCAGCCTTGCAGGCCTGGGAGAGATCTGTTCATCCTGCATTACCTAAGGGGCAGCTTCATTTCCAGTGCCATGGAGCAGCACATTTTCCCTGGTGTGCTGGACCTGCAGCAGGCCCGTTCCAGCAGAGAAATATGGGACCTGGGAGAACCCAGCCTGGTCTGCACAGCCTGGGCTGGGGCACTGGGAGGCAGGATTGCTCCACAGCCCTGCAAGATCATTCCTGGACTTTGGGCAGAACAGAGTCCCTCCGAGTTAGGAAACAAGCAGATGACTGGGAAGGGCTGTGACAGTCCCAGCAATGGGTCCCTCTCAATATCGACTGGAAACCCAAAAGGAGACAAGAAGCTGATTCCTCTCCCTTCAGCAAGCAAAGCACCCCACAGCATTCCCTCTTACCATCCAGGACACATCCCAGCAGGAAGAGACTGAGGAAGAGCAGAGGTGGGCACCGCATTTTGCTGCTGGCTCGAGGCAGAGGTTGCGCGGGGAGCGGGCAGCGTCCTCCGGGCAGGAGAGGTGAGCGCTCTGTCCCGCTTCCCTGCGCTCTGACACTGGTGCTCCCCTGCCTATTTATCCTTCCAGCCCGTGGCTTTCACTTTCTTTTGGAGAAGAGGGTGGGAAGTTGCAACAAGCCTTGCCAGAGGCTAAATTTCAATCTTCAAACAGTTCCCGGAGGTCCCACTGCCTTCCCTGCAGCCAGCTGCTCTCTGGCCTGGGCACAATCCCCCTCCTGCCTTCCCCGCTGCTGGCAGCCTGGGCATGGGGTCTGTGACCAGGGTTGTCCTGGTGTCCTTGAGAAATCACCCCAGGATAGACCCACTGGGAGTGGGTCTCATCCTGCATGTTTCCCAGTCTTCCCTCCAAGAAATCCCTGAAGGATTCCCAAATGGCTCAGCCCTCATCAGCCTTTCCAAGGCCAGGTGTGCAACTTGCCTCAGCCCCTCTCACCTCTGCTGGGACACCCTGCCATGCTACACCTTGAGGTTCGGCCAGCACGCTCCGCTTACACGCTGCAGACTCACATGCTCAAAGGCAGACATTTGCTTCCCAAACGTCCCAAGCTTCCCAAGTGTCCTGTCAAACAGTGCAACAGCCAAAGGCACCTGCAGGCTTTTCTGGAAGCAGTTTTCTAGAGCAGAAATGCCCATGGAGGCTGTCACTGCAGAGCATCTCCCTGGCTGTGCAGGCACTGCAGGAGGTGAAGACCTGCTCTTCTGCTGCACACTGTCACTGCAAACCTGCACTCAGGGATTGTTTTTCTTGGAGAAGATGGATAATTCCAGGGCCAGTGCCTCCTGTGTCCAGGTCCCTTACCCAGCCTCTTTCATCCTCATAGGTGGCATATGGGGTGCTGGGAGCAGAGGGTTTGTGCAGCGGAGAAGGTGAAGGGTGTCTCCTTACTGTCAGTAATTCCCTGGTGTGGGTTTGGAGCCAGGATCTACTTGAAGGGGTTGGGAGACAGGATGAGAAGCAGCAGCACAAGTTACATCGGGGAAATTCCCATTAGCTACCAGTAAAAAATGTTCCCAGCAAAGGTGGCCAAACACCAGAGCAAGATCTTCATAGCTCCAACTTCTCCTTTGCTTCAGCCTTGGCCTTTCATCGCTCCTTGATGGGGAGTGCTGCAGAATCCCTCCACGGGTACAAGCATCCAGCTGGTGACAAGGCAAGGGATTAGGACTGGAGGGGATCCTGGCTCCCTGGGCCCTTCTTGGATGTGCAGGACCCACAGAGAGCGAGTTCTGCCCCTTCACCGGTCTGCAATAAGAAGCAAGAGGAGACTCCAGCTGTGCCATCAGCCAAGGTGCCCCTTGCCAGCACCAGCACAGGCTGTCTCCGAGGGACAGAGGCACCAAAGTCCCGTGTCCAGCTGCTCCCCATGTCCCAACAGGCTGTCCCCATGGCAAACAAGTTAGGAAGGAGCCGGCGGGCAGTACAAACAGTAAAAACAGGATGTACTAGATTAACTTTGCCAGCACCTGCCTCGCTCTGTCACTCATAGACCCTCTTATCAGAGGGAAATCTTGACTGACAGAGGGAATTCAGGCAGCGGGGGATTAGTGTCAGTCATGGCCCCCAGCCTCCTTGGGGGATGCAGCTTGGCTCTGGGACCTTGGTTTTCCATTGGTGTGCCCAGGGCTGTGCCGAGGACACCCCGTGGCAGGGAGGGCGACAGCTCCTGGCTGAGGATCACCAGGAACAAGCTCTGTTGTTCCAGAACCTGTTCTTCCCAAAGAAAGGCTCTGCCAGAGCAGTGCCACACGGGCACTCGTGATGCCCCTTCCACCTTCGGAGGGTTTTGCTGCTGATGGAGCATTCCCGAAGGCTGCAGCTTTGCCAGGGATTCTGTTGGTCCCCTTGTGTGAACCTTGTACAGACGCAACTGGGGTCCAGGTCCCCCCATGGCGAGTGGCTCCGATCCAACTGCTTCTGGATCAGGGTAACCACACGTGTCCGGAGCTGGGGATACATCCCGCTATGTGTTAACTCCTTGACTGCCTCCAGCCTCCAGCACCTGCGGTGGCCGCTGGCACATGCCTGGGGAGGAGGCTCAGCCTCCTGCACGAGCCAAGTGGGTGAAAGCGCAGCCGGCACAGGCCCCGCGGGGAGGACAGGGGCTTTCCACAGGCGTTCGGAGAGGGGGATGCAGTGGGTTTCCCCCCTCTGCTGGGCTCAGTAGGGTTTCTAAGAAGTGAGTGCTCATCTCTGATGTCCCTCTCTGCGGTATGCACGGAGGTGTCCTCATCCCACTCCACGGCTGAGTCAGGAGCTGCGGGGAAGCAGTGCGGTGTGTGCACGGGACGGGAGAGAGGGAGCTGACAGGGAAAAGGGGATATGTGGGGATCCAGGCTCTCGAGAAACATGGGAATGGGCAGAGGATCTGGCATTACTTGGGAAGAGAGGAGAGCGCTGTGTGCGCTGGAGCCTTGTCCCCAAGGAGCAGCGCTGCAGGCAGGAGCATCCATGAGCATCCAGCCTCAATAACACGTCTGCTAATGCAAATGGAAACAGCGAGGGAGGTGGGATCCCCGCGGGAAACGCAGCTCATGGAAATGCAGATGGACTGTGAGAGCAACTCCATCCCCAGGCTCTCCTTGAGGAGGACCAGCCACTCTGCTTGAGTCCCCCCAGCGCCTTCCTGGAGCCCTGGAGCTTGCAGGGGTCTTGCAGTGGTCTCCTCTCCCTGTCTGAGCAATGGAACTGGGAAGAGCAAAGGGGGAATTCCAGTGAATTCCAGCACAGCCAGTCCCTGGGGCAGGATCTCGCCTGGCTGTGTTTGCCTCATTGGGCAATACTGGGACATCACAGCTGCTTTGATTTCCTCTGCCTCCACTACAGCATCATTGCATGAAAGAGCCTCCCGCACAGTCCCCGGTGCCACCTGGAGCCACAGACAGCCGTGGGTCGTAGGGCCATGCTGCTTGGATGGGTTTCCTCTAGCCAAAGGGAATCTGGCTGCTCTGGTTTGATTTAGTTGGGGTTTTTAGAGAAGGAAAATGAGCCAGCTGTGCCTTTGCCCAGAGGAAGCAAACGTGGTCCCGAAGTCACGTTAAGAGGGATGCTAAAAGCCCCAATTCCTGCTCCACGAGCACCTCTCCGTTCATGACTATTGTTACCTTTAGCGTCATTAATCCTGAGATTCCGGGATGCAACAGACATCAGAGACAGGGACTTTGAGCTGTGTCCCACTCCACCTGCCCAGGGCAGATCCATCTTCCTGGATCTCTGCAAGGCACAGATCCCTCACCACAAAGTGGGGTTTTTTTTGTAGCACCGTGCAGATTCTTGTGGTGGCCCATGGGGAATCTGAGGACGTGCGTAACTGGGCAGTGGTGATGGGAGTGAGTCTCATTTCTATCAGGGCTCCATCCTTGTCAAGGACCCTCATCCCTAGCATGTGTCTCTTCTCCCTTTCCCTCCTCCGTTGCTGCAGTAAAGCTGGGTGCTATGGACACAAGCTCTGGGCATGGTTGCTCCCTGTGCCCTGCAGGGCATTCAGGAATGGCTGGCCAGACTTTCCTGGGCTTCCTGCAGATCTCCTTGGAGAGCATCTCAGCACTGGTGAGGCTGCACCTCGAATATTGTGGTCAGTTTTGGGCCCCTGGCTACAAGAAAGCCCTAAAGATGCTGGAGCGTGTCCAGAGAAGGGGAATGAAGCTGGTGCAGGGGCTGGAGCACTGAGCTGTTGAGAGCAGCTGAGGGAGCTGGGGTTGCTTGGTGTGGAGAACAGGAGGCCCAGGGGAGACCTTATTGCTCTCCCCAACGACCTGGAAGGAGGCTGTAGTGAGGTGAGGGTTGATCTCTTCTGCAGGGTGGCTACATATAGGAGAAGAAGGAATGGCCTCAAGTTGCGCCAAGGTGGATTCAGGTTAGATATTAGGAAAAATTTCTACACGGAAGGAGTGGTGAAGCGTTGGAACAGGCTGCCCAGGGAAGTAGTGGAGTCCCTGACAGTGTTCAAGAAACGTGTACATGAGGCACTTAGGGACGTGGTGATGGGTTTACAGCTGCACTCGATGATCTCAAAGATCTTTCCCAACAATAATGATTGGATGATGCTCTGTAACCTGGATGTGGGCACCTGCTTCTCATTGTGGGATGTCCAGGAACGGAGCGGGGAGCTGCACAGCTGTTCCCCTGCCGGACACAGCCCGGGTGCCGCACATGTCCCGCAGCAGCAGCGAGCAGTGGGCGCTGCAAACGCGCCCGTGCCCCTGGCAGGAGCCGTGTCCCAGCCCCTCCGTGGCTGCTGCCCGCCCAGGACCGCGGCTGCAGCGTCTCCAGGTGCGCCCACCTGGAGCACAGCCAGCGCTTCAGCACAGGACACGCCTGGAGCATCGTCTGCGCTGGTTATCTCCCGAGCTGATCTCCTGGCCCCAGCTCAAGATTATGTTTCTTATGGCTGCAGGCTGCAGTTCATCTCGCATGGCTGTCTTACGCCTGTCACCTCACCCTTTCCTCCAGGGTGGCCAAGCCCTCCTAGCTTTTCCCTCTGCTTGACACAATTGCAATTTTTCTCTTCCCGCCAGGAAAATGGTTTGTACAGCCCTGCACACTCACTGCTGTGCATGGACTGCATCAGAGCTGCCCTGGCTTTGCACGTGGGGCAATGCCCCCCATCCCTGCAGCCACTCTGCCCTGCCCAGGGTACAGCCACGTCCATCCTCCTCCGCTGCTTCTCTGCTTTAGTAGAGCACCTTCTTTGTCCTCTTTGCTCACATCAAACCCGTGCGTCCACACAGAGAGCTGGGCAGCACCCACACCTGGAACTCCTTCCTGCAAAGTGCCCTGTCCCCTCTGCCTTCCACTCTGCATTTGCAGCCACAACTCGGTGCCTCCTCACCAAGTCTGACCCTAGAGGGCTTGCTTTTCCTGCAGGAGGTTTCCAGCACTAGTAAAGGACATGAGGTTTGGCCAGGACTCCCAGGAATGTTCCTGGGACATCTTGGCTCCAGGGAACTGTCCTCAGCCCATTGCCTCTCCCTGCAGATCTCCTCAGGGCGATGCGTGCGCCAAGCACCGCTGGTCGCCAGCCTCTGCAGTAAGGGAGCCCCACTAAATATAGTATTTATATATTTATATATATCTATAAATATATTGATACTGTGAAATATAAATATATTTCACAATATATTCACATATATTGGCAATATAAATATTGTGAAAGTGATGTTCGTAAATAAAGCTGTGTGCAAATGCCCCTGTGTGGGGCAGGTGTGCATTGGTGTCTGCGCCTCGATTTGTGCTCCTGGCAGGTATTTGTGTCCACTTATATGACAGGCATTGAAGCAGAAAGCCTGCTTTTAGGATGAAGTGCCTACAGGGCACGTCCACGGCCACATTTAACCCACCATAGCCCCAGGCCTGTTCAGCACTTACATCTGCAGCAGCAGAGAAGCCAGGCTGTGGTTCACATGCTGGCTCGCTCCTGCCATCTGTCTCCTCTCTGCTCTTTGCAGCTGCAGATGGATTTGGTTAGGCCCCATTTGTAGGGGTTTTCTGCAGTCATTTCGCAATCCCGATACACCAAGACAAGACCAAGAGCTCGTCCGACACAAGCGAGAGTCAGCCTTGCAGCGCCTGCACGCGGCTCGCCGTCAGCAGACGCCGGGGCGAGCTGCTTCCAGCCCTCCCACGACAGCCCTGGCTGGCTCCCAGTGCGCGGAGAGCAATTCCCAGGCTCCCAGCACAGCCCAGGGCAGAGCACAACCTCGTTAATAATGGCTTTAATGCTGCTTTCCCGAAGGAAATGCCCTGCATCCGAGCCGCGCTTAGTCAGGGAGACTCAGCATCAGGGGGAGAGACTTGGCCATGTGCAAAAGATGCTGCAAAAGAAGACACCGAGGGGCTCCTGTCCCTGGGCCACGCAGTGCAGGCACATCACGACAGCAAGAAACAGTGAGATTGGTTAAGAATATGTTTTATTGCTTTACACCTTGTCTCAAAACCGGCCCGGTGGGCTGACGGGTGCTCCCATGTGGAGCAGAGCGCAGCGCAGAGCAAGCTCAGCGCCTGTCCTTTCCTTGGGCCGGTATCTCAGACTTCACAGTTTCTTGATACAGCCTTTAAAGAACACCTACATGCCCAGCAATCAAGCCAGATAAATGCGTCTGATAGGAACAGCCAGCTAGAAGCTTTCTCCAGCCCTTGCTGATATTGTTAAGCCCTGCAAATCCCATTATTGCAGCTACACAACTTAATAGACCTTAATTGACCAAAGTCCAGCGCTGAAGTCTCTGCAAGCAAATAGCACTGCAGCTGCATTAGGACCTTTCAGAAGGTTCCTTCTCCCCATACAGGAGGGCATTCTGCAAATGCAGGTAGGACCCCACCAGTTCTGTCCACACTCCATGTGGACTCGTTCCAAGGTGTCCCTAGGTTAGTGACTTCTCACTTTGCTAAAGATTTGGGTTAGGGTCTCTCTCAAAACAACCGAGTTGTGCTTGCAATGAATTTTGCAGGGCACTCTGTTTCTCCATCCACACTGCTTCACGCACACAGTTTCCACATACAGCCTTTCTGGATTAGGGAGGAAAGTATAAAAATATCTTTTCTGCGTTCTTGAAAGCAAGCCTTAAGAACAAAAATCTGTCAAAGAAAAAGCAAGGAGGGGTAAACTTCCATGCAGACAAACATACGTGTTCATTTAATTACAATTCCATACTAAAAAGTAAAAAAAAGCATTTAATAAATGAAAAGGGCGTGCAGAGCAACCCTGACTATCTTTCTCCAAACCTCATTCAACCTTAAAGCTGAAGGAAAACCCCAGAGCAGCCCATAAAAACAGCGGCACCATCACCCCGCTGTCCCCGAGCTCTTGTCCTCTCCACCGCTGCCCGGAGGGGACGTGGAGCCGGCCAGTGTCCCACAGCCTGGCAAGCGGGAGAGGAGCAAAGAGGGCAGAGGGCGAGGAGATGCACGGTTTACTCGGTAGAAAAACAGGAGCAATCTTGTAGGAAAGCTAGCCTATGGTATAGAAAGTACTCGGTAAAAAATAACGAGGAGGCAAAAGGAGAGCCCTTTGGGAAGACTGCATGCAAGCACAGTCTTTGAATATAAATATGAATGTACAAATCCCGTCCCCCCCCCAGCAGTCCAAGGAAAAGCTGCCATGGTGTCGGGTGCCTTCCCAGCACGGGGCTCAGCTCCGGGGCCCCGCGGCCGGCGGTGTCCCCGGGCCGGCTCTCGCGCCCCGCGGGGAGCGATGCTCTCGGGTGTCCATGTCCAAGTGGTGGTCGGAGGGGAAGGTGTCCGTCCTAGAGCGGGGCAGGATGGGGACACTGCAGAGGGAGCCGTGTCCCGCTGGCCCCCATGCTCCAGATGATGCTCTGGGCCCATTCCCAGCTGGACCAGGTGCCTCCTTCCCTCCCATGAGGACCACGGGGCCCGTGGCAACATCCTCCCTCCCCTGCTCACCCCACTCACCTCTGTGGGGCCGACCTAGGGGCGCTGCGCCTTCTTCTGCGGGGATTTTCTCCGAGGCGTCACGGGCTGCGCCTTCTTCTTGTCCAGCTTCTGCATCACCTTCTGGACGGAGGAGCTGTCCGGGGAGGCGCAGAGCTTCTTGCCCTTCCTCGTGGTGAACCTGACCAGAGAGGAGGAGAGATTTGAAGTGCGGCCGCTCCGGAGGCTGCAGGTCAGGAGCACGGAGTGGCTCCAAAGGGGATCCCGGCCAGCCAGGGTACTCACACGACAGCGCGCAGCAGGCAGCCCGACTCGGGTCCCTGCACGCTGTAGGACTTCACCAGGCCCAGCGGGATCTTCCCCTGGCTCGTCTTCAGGCAGCAGTCAGAGGCTTGGCTGCTGATGCCTGGGAGGCAAGATGGGATGTTAGAGCTGACCTGGACTCTCCTGGACCACAGCATGGCCAGGCCAGGGTGAGGGAACCGCAGCAGGGCTTGAGGGAAGTCTCTGTTAGGAGTGACCCCCTTGGGGGTGGGGATGAGCATGCATGGGCTCAGGGCTCTGGCATTTGGGAAAAGCAAGTGGTGCCATCGGCCACAGAGTGGCCGGGGAGATGCTGGGATGATGGTAGCCCTTGGTCTCTGTTGCGGGACGGACACAGCCCCAGGGAGATGTGACATCAATTTTATACCTGCTCTGCTGGCAGGGAAACTGAGGCAGAGATGGGCTGCTTGCAAAGGGGCTCAAAATGATTCTTCTATCCCCACTGCTCTGCTCCGGGTGCCTCTGCCACCCACTGCCACCACTGCCCTACCAGCCACAACTGCTGCTTCTCCCCAGGCTGATTGAGGCAGGAGAGCCCTCAGGGGAAGGGCTGATCCGGTGCCCCCGCCAGCTGTCCGTGCACACGCATCCCTGTCCATGGACACGCTGCGAGCGCGAGGCGCCGGCTGCAGCCGCGTGCACGGCCCCGCGCACCCCGTGCACGTGAGAGCAGCGCAAACAGGACCAGCGAGCGCAGCCAGGCAGCCGTGCACACACATGCACACGCACGTGCACACGCATGCACACGCACGTGCACACGCATGCACACACACATGCACACGCACCTCTGCGCCACAGGCAGTACATGCACAGCGCGCACCGCGGCCGTGCAGCCGGCCACACGCGAAGGGACGCGCCGCAATCGCGGCACGTGCGCCGCAGACACCCGCATGCACAAACCCACTGCAAAGCCCCTGCCATCCACTCCCCCAAGCTCAGCACCCCCCCAGGCTTGCACTCGGAGGGTCTGCACCTCCTCACCTCGAGCCGGGAGGACGAGGAGGGCAGCGGCCAGCAGGAGCAGCGGCAGGAGCAGGCGCAGAGCCATGGTGAGCAGCCGCGGGCCGGTGAGGTGCTGAGCTCTGCACGGCGCCGGAGCACAATGCGCGCTGCTGCCTCGTGCCGCGGACACTCCTATTTATCCCTGGATGCGTTGCTTTCATTTTCGGCCACCGTGGCACAGAGCCCGACGGTCGGACAGGGGGCTGGGCGGCGCAGGGGAAGGAGCGGGGAGGATTCCTGTAAGCAGCGAGCCCCCCTTTGCAGATGTGTCCTGTCTTGTTCCCAGCTGCCCGCCACCGTGCCAGGCGGGGGGCACGCGGGAGACGCGGCCCCCGTCCCGTCTGCAGCTTGTGGGCTCGCATTTCCTACCCACTCCCACAACCTGCTGCTACCTGCTCCCGTCGGGCTGAGTGTCGCTGCTCGCTCGCTTGCTCCCCAGGTGCACAAACTGGCAGGCGGCCAAACCTTTTGTGAAAACAAGAAGCCGACGTGCTCTGCTTGCCCCCAGAAATGCTGCTCGGCAGCTCCCTGGCCATTCCCCAGCCAGGCTGCCCAGTCCCCATGGGCGAGAAGCGGCTGAGGGTGACCCCAGTGCCAGTCCTCCAACCCATCCATGTCCTCCTGTGTCAGGGCTGGGCGCACACGCAGGGGCTGAGCAGGGACCCGGCTGCAACTAGGGCTGCGGAGAGGGAATAGTCCCCCCCAGCTCTGCAAGTGCTAAAATAAAGCAAGTGCAACTATCACTGCAGTGATGCTAAACTGATAGGAGCTGTGGATGCGGATGCAGGCACCTGGACCAGCTGCAGAAACGGACTGGCAGACACCTCCTAAATTTCAATGCGGACAAATGACAAAGTCCCATGCTGGGGATGGATTGACACCATGCGACAGGACAGGCAGGGGCCAGAAGGCCAGCAAGCAGCTGTGCAGCAATGCAGGGTGCATCTGGGCTCCAGGGGAGCAGAACAGGAGCCTACAGTGTGTCCTTGTGGCCAGGGAGGACAATGCAGCAGGCAGAATGGCTGCACAAGGCCATCCTTGGAGATGGTCAACCCTTGATGGGTCAAGCCCTGAGCAACCCGGTGTAATTCTGGTCCATCTCCGAGCAGTGAGCGGGCCAGAGACCTCCTCAGTTTCTCAGAATCACTGGATCTGAGGGGCTAGTACAGGTTGGAAGGGACCAAGGATGAAGTTCTAACAACCTCTCTGGACAACCTGTTCCAACCTTTAAAATGTTCTGGTGTTGGTTCTGTTTTCCACAATATTTAATTGCATTGGCATTGACTAATTCCTCATGCCATTGCCTTTTGTTCTCTTGTCAGGCACCTCCACAGTGAGGAAGCCCATCTTTCCTCCAACCCCATCAGGTCACTGCCATTCCTTCATTGTCCCTTCTCCAGGCTGCCCAGCCCCACTGATGCCCGGGGACTACTGGACATGCTGGCCCGTGCCATGGGGTGGCAGGGGAGTGTTTGGTTGTCCCCTCAGCAAGAGGAGAGCTCCTGGGCATGGGAGACCCCGTCATGGTGAAGGGGAGCTGCAGGCTGCACTGTCCGAAGGCCACCGCGGCGTGGACACAACAGCAATACTGGGGAGCTGCTGGTGCAACACCGGAACGTTCTACCAGCTCCTGATAAGGACCCTCATAAACAGTTCACAAGGGCAATGAGTAACCCAGGGGGAGAACAAAGATCCACTTGTTTTAATAAGCAGAGAAGCGACAGGATGCCCGGGCTCTCACCCACCTTGGTAGGGAGGAGGTCGTGCTGGAGCCACAGGGGGATAACCATTAACAGCCCCACATCCCACCCTCCCAGGGAACTGATCCGCTTTGCTGGCTTCCTCGGTGCACCCAGCACAAGCTGCTGCAGCACGGACTGCTCCTCTGCGCACCTGGAAAACGGGGTCGGGATGCTGCCCAGCAGACACAAGGAATCCAGGAGGCAGCACCAGCCGAGGCACTGGGCTTGCTGGCCTGGTGGGCAGAAGGAGAAGCCAGCAGAGATGTCCTATCTGCCACAGGGCCAAGGGTCAGTCCAGCCTGGTTCTGGAGGAGGCTGGGAGTGCTCCAGGAAACCTTGCCATGCCAGCATGGAGCCCAGCAGCCCTCCTTGCCATGCCCTAGCCCTGGCCGTGGCAGCAGGAGCATGGAAAGTCCCTGGCTTTCTGCATGTTTTCAAGACACCAAAGCTGCATCCTCTGGGTGGAGGCCAGCCCCAAACATGGCCCAAGCTGCTGAGGAGGGTTAGAGCACGTGTCGCCTTTGCAGGCATCCATCCCTGGCACTTGTCTAGCGTGCAATTTGTGTTCCAGTGAAAAAGGCTGGCTGAGTAGACTCAGCCCAGGCTGTCCATGGCCTGGCAGGGGCTGCAAGAAGACACATAGGGATGGGGTGGGAGTTGGGGAGCAAATGGGTCCAATCTCAGCTCAAACAGCAGGGCAAGTGGTTTGGAGAGGGACCGGGAGGGCGCTTAATCCAGGAAAGAAGCAAGGAGCTTGGGGCAATCCCTTCTTGCAGGTCACAAGGCAGACCTGACTTCTGGGATGCAGAGGAGCTGCTAGGGCAAGAGAGGAGCAAGCAAGTCTAGTTAGGGGTTCCTAATGGCAGCAGTTGCCAGCAGTTCTGCTCTCGAGAGGCACAATTCCTTGCACACATCTGGCTCAACCCATTGCATCAACCCGTTTCTCACCAGCGTGAGCTCCTGCACAGACCAGCCTTTGCCCAGAGCCTGGGGATGCAGAGCGGAGATCAGCACAGTCCTGGGGCACAGGAAGGGATGCAGCCAGTCAGGGCACCCCGCTGCTGTGTCCACAGGGAACCTCTGGCCCCAGAGCCTGTGCCAGACAACCATGCACAATTCCCTGCACCAAAGGAGCTGCCTACAATGCTGCCACCACCTACTCCTGTGCGCTGGCAGCCTGGCTCCTGCCCTTAGCGCATCCTTGTGTTGGAGGGGCCTCCAGGTTGCAGGAAGAGGGAAGGTGTCATAGACAGGCACGATGGTGTCCCCACACACCCTGTGTGCAAAATCACGGGCACTACAGCAACGGTCACCAAACCAGCCTTGCTCCTGAGACTTTCCTAGGCAGCAAAGCCAGCATAGGAACCAGTATGGACCCACTCAAGCCTCCATCCCAAATCCTTCCAGCTCCACACCCCACACCAGAGCTGGGAGTTTGCCCTGGAATTACCTTCCAGACTCTCAGTGTCCCACTTTGCTGGCACCCCCTTTCTTAATGCCAGTAGACCCTTCTCTCCTGAACTGTCAGCCCTCTGTTAACCCAGCTTTGGGCTCCGCTTCAGGCCTGTGAAAGCCCCCAGATCTGATGTGCATCTGCCCTGCGCTAACCAGACCATGGGGTCTGCTCCTTGGGAAGCTCAGGACAAGGGATCCAGGCCTGCTTTGAAGCAGAAGCTCCTCATGTGCATGCACAGGGTTGAGGGCATCCAGAGGAGACCACTGCGGGAGCTGGGAATTTCCAAATCCTTCTGGATGCGGCATCCAAGTTAAAGTCACTGCTAACAGGAACAGGGTCGCTCGGCTCCATTCAACTCATCGACCAGCAGGCTCCTTCCTCCAGACTTTCCCAGGAGCCGGCATAAGAGGTACTTTGCACAGCCCAGCGTGGAAAGCCCCCGTGGCTGGGAAGGGGAGCGGGCTGCCTGCCAGGCACACGGTATAGAAATGTCCTATGGCACAGTGGCCCTCAGGAACTCGGAAAGAATTGCTGGAAGCCAGCGGTGCACGAGCCGTCAGCCTCTCCGCTGGCTGCCTCTCCATCCCCGGCAATGAGCAGAGCTGATGGGAAGAGTGGGCTGAGCACAACATGCTGGGAAGAGCCAGGAGGCCGGCTGCCCGGGAGTCCCCTCCTCGCACACGGGATCCGGAGCGCTTGGAGACACAACCTTCGGCAGGGAGAAGTTTCCCTCCCGCCCCATCCCAGGCTCTCTGACCTGGGAGGAAAAAGCAGTTTTTGTGCATGGAGTGAGTGCAAGGAGTTAACCCTTCCACTACTAGCACTCACACAGAGTGACACTCGCACATTTGGGGGCAGGACAGCCTCTGCACTGATAAATGTGCAAATGATGCGATAATGATAAATGTGGGAAATGGGAGTGAGCGGGATGAGGGGGAGCCCAGTGCGTGCTGCACCATGTGAAGATGCCATCTTCTGAGAGCATCTTCTCCGTGGGACGGGACACTGCCTCTCTCCTGGTCTCATCTCCCAGGCAGCAGGGAGAGCCCTCGGCCCTGCGCTCCTGGCACGTGCCGAGCTCTGCTCCTCGGAGCCTGGATGCAGTTTCTGCAGCAGATAGGAGCTGGCACACGCGGTGAGCTCATCAAGGGGAGGGAAATGGAGACACACAAACTGAGGACGGTCAAAGGGAAATGAAGCAAAACATGAGGAAGGCTCTGGAGTGTTTGCAGAAGACATTAGAGCAAAATATAAACAAGAAACTGGATGTGTTTCAGATAAGGCTGGAAAACGCTAGAGAGGAGCCGTGCTCCAAGCAAATGTGCTCCCAGCTGCCCCAAGCAGGGAAGTAAAGGCAAAACCAAGCGCCAGGTGGAGAGGGAAAGCCAAGAGGAAGGAGATGATGCCCCACGTGGTGTAGGAGCTGCTGAGTGCAGGCAGTGGGTGCAGACCTGACGTACCAGCTGCTAGCGATGGAGCAGGGAGCATTGCTTGGCATTCCGGGGAGCAGCACGGCCGGGAGAGCACCCGAAGAGCAACTCGCCAAGCCCTTCTCAAAGGCTTGGAAAGGAAACAGCTGCTCGGAAGCCCATCTTGAACGAGTCTCACAGTGCCCGGATATAATTAAATGATCGGAAGAGGTAATAAAGTTGATATCTCGGCGTGGCTAGTCATTAACGGTAACTCACAGCAGCAGGGTTCAGTGATGGAGCAGCTGAAACCTGGCAGTAGGTGACTGTAGGTGACAGGGACCACAGCTGGAGAAACCAGAGGTGAACCCAAGGGCCTTTCCACCTTCTGGGCAGATGCCGAAGTGATGCAGACAGCATGTCCTACTCTGCCAGGGAG